AGAAATGAAAAGAAAAAAAAAATAATAACATACGAAAAGAATGATATATATATCTAAGAAAGAAAGAAAAGAAAAAGAAAATAGAAAATATAAAAAAATACATAAATAAGTCCAAATAAACGAATAGAATTATACGAACATCCGATAAAAAAATTAAAAAAATCTGAAGAAATCTGGATCCATTTTAGGCAAAGATTCGAAATGAACGCATTAACCTTAATTAATAACAATATAACTGCAATTACAGAATCAAAAAGGTAAAAAGATAACGACAACGCACGTAAAGATAATGATACTAATAATTGAAATAATGAAATGATGTTAATAATTGTGATAATGATGGACAACAATAATGATTTGATGAAAATGATGATAATGAGAGAATATATAATAATGTTAATATCAAGGATAATGTTGATAATAATAAAAACGATAAGAAATAATAATATTGATAATAATAGTAATAATAATGTAGCTGAAAACAGGTAAAAAAAGTAGAAAAAAAGACGAAACAAAGAAGAAAGAAAGAAAGAAAGAAAAAAAAAACGAAAGGGATATACAAGAAAATAGTAAAAAAAAAATAAATAAATAAATAAAAAAAGCCAAAACAAGAAAGAGAGAAAGAAAGAAAATCGACAGGGATTTACAAAAAAAAAAAAAAAAAAAAAATAATAAAAAAATAAATAGATAAATAAAAAGGGAAAATTAATGAATAGCAAAAGAGAAATACAAAATAAATAGATAAAGAAAGAAAGGAAATTACAGAAAAAGTAAAAAAAAAGTAAAAAAAAAAGTAAAAACAAGAAAGAAAAAAAAATCGAAAGGGGTTTACAAAAAGAGTAAAAAAAGGAAAAAAGTGAAAAAAAACAAAGCAAGAAAGAAAGAAAGAAAAAAATCGAAATGAGCTTACCAAAAAGTAAAAAAAAAAAGTAAAAAAAAAAAGAAAAAAATGGAAAAAAAAGAAAAAGTAAAAAGAAGTGAAAAAAAAAATTGAAAAAAAATCTTCATCCTCTTAAAGAAAACCCAAGCCGTGGACTTCCCACCTCTGACCCTTTTTTTGTGAAGGGTATTTGGGGCAGAGGGGCAAAGTGGGGGGGGGGAGGTGGAGGGGGGGAAGGAAGGGCAAGGGCAAGGGGTCCCGGATGGAGGAGGAAGGGTTGCCAAGGTCGAACTCATACCCTGGGCATCGATTACCTACCTGGTCGGAGAAAGGGAAAAGGGGAGGGGGGGGAGGGGGTGGGGAGAGAGAGAGAGAAAGAGACGGAGGGAGGGAAGGGAAGGAGAGAAAGTGAGGGAGCGAGTGAGAGAAACAGATAGGTAGGCAGATAGATAGATAGATAAATATATAAACAGACACATTTATATATGTATACATATATACATATATACATACTTATAAATGTATATATACATATATCACACACACACACATATATGTATATATATATATACATATATATATATATATATATATATATATATATATATATATATATATATATATATATATACATATATATATATATGTATATATATATATATATATATATATATATATATATATATATATATATATATATATATATATATATATGTATATATATATATGTATTTATGTATGTATGTACGTATGTATGTTTATAGATCGGTACAAAATTAGATTCCCCACTATTGTATAGAATCGTCCCAGCGCAGCGCAAGACGTGACTGATAGATAGATTAATAGACTTTTAGGTTGGTAGATTAATAAATTGGTAGATAGACAGTTACCGATATATAAATAGTGAGAGAGAAAGTGTGAGAGAGAGAGAGAGAGAGAGAGAGAGAGAGAGAGAGAGAGAGAGAGAGAGAGAGAGAGAGAGAGAGAGAGAGAGAGAGAGAGAGAGAGAGAGAGAGAGAGAGAGAGATGAAAATCCTAACCGTGTATTGTGTTCAACTTTGATTTCGTAAACTTTGAAAAAAATGTTATATATATTTTTTGTTTGTCTTTTTTTAAGGACTGGTTTAGTCCAAGGATAACCGATATTAATTCCATTTACATTTTAACCATAAATGTCGCTTATTTTCACCGAGTCTCGTCTTATCAACAACAAAAAGAAAAGAAAAAGAAAGATGTATCCCGATTGAAAAGAGAGATAGTAGAAAAGTAGGAAAAAAACAGAACACAAAAGAAAATAAAAAAAGAAAGAAAGGGAAAAAAAAAGCATAAAAAAAAATCATTGTTCGACCCAAGTCAAGATGGTCGCCATGACAACCGGATGTCACCCGCCCGAAGCCTTTTCATTTTTTTAACTATTATTTCTTATTTTATCTATTTATTAATTTGCATCTCTTCTATCTTTTTTTTTTTAATCTCAAAATAAGGTGATCGTCAAACAGCTTCAGTTGACGTAAATAAATCTTACGCAATGTTGCCATGGTAACTGGAGATGACGTCATCCGTTACCATGGCAATGGGATGAAGCTTTTTTTTCTTTTCTCTTTTGTTAGAAAATACATTCACTAGGGAGGGGGGAGGAGGGGGGAGGGGTAGGGGTAGGAGGAGGAGGAGGGGAGGAGGAGGATGAGTAGGAGGAAGAATAGAGAAGGTAGGGATAGGTGGAGGAGGAGAAGGAGGAGGAAGAGGAGGAGGAGAAGGAGGAGGAAGAGGAGGAGGAGGAGGAAGAGGACGACGAGGAGGAGAAGGGGTAAGGGAAAGATAAGGAAGAGGGGGAGGAAGAATAGAGAAAGTAGGGAAAAGGTTTTGGAGGAGAAGGAGGAGAAGAAGAAGAAAGAGGAGGATATGGAAGAGGAGGAGGAGGAGGAGAAGGGGTAAGGGAAAGATAAGGAAGAGGGGGAGGAAGAATAAAGAAAGTGGGGAAAAGGTGTAGGAGGAGAAGGAGGAGAAGAAGAAGAAAGAGGAGGATATGGAAGAGGAGGAGGAGGAGGAGGAGGAGAAGGGGTAAGGGAAAGAGAAGGAGGAGGAGGAGGAGAAGGAAGAAGAGGATGATGATGATGAAGGGAAGGGGTATCATCTGCCCTGGGAAACATGGTACCAAGATCATCCTGTTCGGTATGCGCTGTGGTATGTAAACGGTATCGCCATGTGGTATGTTGTTACCCTACATGATATATCTTTCCTGATTTAATTAATAATAATCTAATTCCTTGATGTATTTGTAATTATATTAACGTGCCTTTGAATAACAGCATATAACATCATTATAAGTGTTATGATTATGATACTTATAATTATGATTTACTTATAATCTCGTGGACAGGTTTATATATTGTTGTATTCTCACTTTTATTTTATTTATTTTTTCGCATATACACTGGTCCGTTTATTTATCCATTAATGTATCTATTCATTTATCTATCCATTAATGTATTTAGTCATACTGTTGCTCTTTCACCCTGTTGCCTTGTTGTCATGTCACCCTGTTGCCATGTCAATCTGTCATCGATTACCACAACCTTTTTAGCGAATTATGTTAAATGAGCAATTGTTATTAGCGATTCCCCGACATCGATAGCTGTGGTGGTGATGATAGTGATGATGGTGATGACGACTATGATGATGATAATGGTAGTGATAGTGGTGGTCGTTGTAATGATAATGGTAATAATGGTATTGATAAAGGTAATGACAGTGTTAGATATGATGATACTGGCAATAATAGTTGTAATGATAATAATGATAATGGTAGTAATGATGACGATAATAACAATGATAATCATGCTAATAGTAATGATGTTAATTATAATAATATCAATGACAGTGATGATAATGATGATGAAGATTATAATAACTATTGGAGCTGTTGGTGATGATATCGACGATGGTGATGATGATAAAAGTGGTAGTAATGATGATGATGATGAGGAAGAGAGATATGATGATAATGATGATGGTGATTATGATAACTGTGATGGTGGAGTTGGTGATGAAAGTGATATTGATGACTATGATGGTGATGATGGTGTTAGCAGTGATGGTGATGATAATGGAAACGATAATGGTAATGATAATGATGATGGTGATTATAATGATGATGGAAGTGGTGGTGTCAGTTATGATAATGATAATGATGACAATGTTAATGACAATAATGATAATGATGATTATAATGAGGATAATGATAATGACGATGTTCATGATGATAATAATAGTGATGTATAAATACGAACTTAACTAGATAAAAATTGTTCTTTTCGACTGTCGATGAAAACACTTTAATTAAGAGAAAGTAAAATTGCAGGCTTGCCGTTGATTGCAGTTGCAACGAAGGGCCAATTACTTTTCATCTCAACCAGAAATTTCGTCTTGAAATGCCTCTTGATATTTTATGGTTTAGCTCCGCGATGTCAACATGGAAATAACAAATTTATTGATGATGATAATGATAATGATAATAATAATAATGATAATAATAATTATCATTATTATTATGATAATGATAATAATGATGATAATAATAATAATGAGGATAATATCAATAATAGCAACAACAATAATGAACAATAATAACAATAATGATAATAGTAATAGTAATAAAAATGATGATGATGATAATAATAATACTAACAATGATAATAATAATAATAGTATCAAAAGTAATAATAGTAGTGATAATAATAATATTAATGATAACGATAATGCTAATAGTAGTAATAGTAATAATATCATCATTATTATATCAATAGTAGCAATAATCATAATGCTAATGATAGTAATAATGATAATAATGTTATTGAAAAGAACCAGTCATAGCCCTGAAAACGCGAGAAAAAGGTGACGAGCGCGCATGCGCCGACCAGCAGCTGTTTACGTGGAGCGTTACCATGGCAACGGGGACGCTACCTGGTCAAGCTATACACGCGTCAGGACCTTGACAAAGTGACTTTACACTGTGACGCAATCAACCATTTCGAATCAAAGTGATAAGGAACAGATCTCGAAATGCGTAAAATGGATAAAAGATAGTTTAAATCAAGTATGACTCTCGATCAAATAAGAAATGGATATCAAACGTGAGAAGGACTGCAACTTTATCACAGATTTGACACTCGGACTCGTGGAGACACTGAGTAAGTGCATTTCGAGTGCTTGTTAGTTCCAAAGAGAATATATCTAGTGAAGTGCTACGATCATATTAAAATATGTCTGTGCTTGATATACCATTTTATTTTGTGATAATTTCTACATATATATTTTTTTAAGGGTTTGATAACCTATGATGCGTTGAAATGATATAATTGTTATAATTATTTTTCTTTTAGATACGATAAACATATTAATGCTATATCCAATATGTTGTCAATATATCTAATTACCAATAACGTGAACAGGAATATTACATTTTATATGACTATGGATATATCAAATACCATAATTCAAAATAAACTCAAACATTTCAAACTGCATTTCGAAAATCTTTATATTTATTTCCTGGTATAATCATATCTCAATATAGTATCCTTAATGTACTGAATCATTGCAACTTTTCTCTTCCATTTATCAATATAATAAATAATCTAAAAATGATATCTAAATCAAAATAATTTCTCTTGACGCTCTCACTTAAAGAAAGTATTGCATATGAAAGTGTTAGAAAATGAAAATATTTTTTTATTGACGAATATGTCTATATATCACTAACGTCAAATTAAATTTCTTTTTGAAGCGAAAGTTATCAGAAAGTTTAATCTAATATATAAAAGATAAACGGCGAAATAGGAAAGGAAGAGAGAAGAAAACTCTCTCTCTCTCTCACTCTCCCCCTCTCTCTCTCTCTCTCACTCTCCCCCTCTCTCTCTTTCTCTCTCACTCTCCCCTCTCTCTCTTCTCTCTCACTCTCCTCTCTCTCTCTCTCTCTCTCTCTCTCTCTCTCTCTCTCTCTCTCTCTCTCTCTCTCTCTCTCTCTCTCTCTCTCTCTCTCTCTCACTCTCCCTCTCTCTCTCTCTCTTACTCTCTCTCTCTCTCTCTCTCTCTCTCTCTCTCTCTCTCTCTCTCTCTCTCTCTCTCTCTCCCTCCCTCTCCCTCTCTCTCTCTCTCTCTCTCTCTCTCTCTCTCTCTCTCTCTCTCTCTCTCTCTCTCTCTCTCTCTTTCTCTCTCTCCCCCTCTCTCTCATTCTCTCTCCCTCCCTCCCCCCTCTCCCTCCCTCCCTCTCTCTCTCCCTCCCTCCCTCCCTCACTCACTCTCCCCCTCTCCCTCTCATTCCCTCTCCCCCCCAGGAACCGTGGGCGGCGTGCAGGACGTGTGCGTGGTGGTGCGCGGGGGCGTGGACAGGGCGGCCGTCGTGGCGTGGGAACAGCGTCACAACGTCGTTCTTCCGGCCACGTTGAGGGCTCTTTATACGGCCACCGACGGATTCAAGCTCACCTGGAACTATGCGACGGCAGGTAGGGAGGGGTTGGGAGGGGAGGGGGGAAGGGAGGGGGGAAGGGGGTAGTAGGGGGTAAGGAGGGAGGGGGAAGAGGTTGGGTTGGGAGTGGGGTTGGGAGGGGGGAAGGGGTTGGATGAGAGCGGGAAAGGGGGGTTGGGAGGGAGGGGGTAGGGGGATGAAAGGGGGTTAGGAGGGGTTGGGGGGAAGGGGGGAAGGGGTTGGGTGGGAGTGGAGGAGAAAGGGTAGGGGGGAAGGAGAGGCTGGGGAGGGGGGAAGGGGGAGTTGAGGCTGGGGTGTGGGGGGGAGGGGGAGGGGAAGGGAATGAGTGCAAAGATAAGGGTTAGTTGATGGGGATAGAGGTACAAATATAAAGGATTTATCGTTATCATTAACATTATCATCATTATGAATCCCCCCCCCATATCCACCTCAATTATGTCCCCTCCTTTTCCCCTTTCCCACCTCCCCTTTCTCTTTGATTCCCCTTTCCTTCCCTTTCTCCCTCTTCCTTCTCCCCCTTCCCCCATTTCTTCTCCTTCCTCTCCTACCTTCCATCTTAACCTCCCCCCCCCTTTGATAGTCATGTGCATAAATTGTGCATAAACTAACGGTCTAACTAGTTCATTGCAGTATACTTGCCTCGAATAACAATGATAATAATAATGATGATAATAATGAAACTAATAATGATAATAAAGAAAATAATTAAGATGTGATTCTTTGATATTTATGGTTTCACTCCATTTTTACACCAAAATAACTCAACTGCAAGACCGCAGTCATGTGGAATATAATATCAGGCGTAAAAAGCAAATGTGTGTAGTGTTTGATAGTTAAGTAGTTTATTTTTTCTACCAATTAGTGATAATACTAATAAAAAGAAAATAATAATGATGATAGTAATAATAATAGAATAATGATGATAATAATAGTAATAAATAGAAAATAATAATGATAATAATAGTAATAATAATAGAATAATGATAATAGTAATATTAAATAGTGATAATAATAGTAATAAGAAAATAATGAAGATAATAGTAATAATAAAATAATGATAATAATAGTAATAATAATAAAATAATGATGATAATAGCAATAATACGAAAATAATGATAATAGTAATAATAAAATAATGATAGTAATAATAAGAAAATAATGATGATAATAGTAATAAGAAAATAGTGATGATAATAATAGTAATAATAATAAAATAATGAGGATAATAGTAATAATAATAAAATAATGATAATGATAGTAATAATAAGAAAATAATGATGATAATAGTAATAAGAAAATAATGATGATAATAATAGTAATACTAATAAAGTAATGAAGGTAAGAATAGTAACAATAATCAAATAATGATGAAATTATAGAATAATTTCCAGACCTCCCCCCCCGCTCTCCCCCCCAGGCAAAGTCCTCCCCCTGGGCAACATGGAGATCCACCCCCTGGGCCGCGTAAACCGCCTGGGCACCGGCAGGGGGAGCGGCGACCCCCTGGCACCTTCCATCACGGACTTGGCACTGGCCGAGGATGCCAACTCCTCCTCCCCCCCCATCGACGCCGGGCGGTCTGCGGGCGCGAGGTCCTCCCACGCCCCCTCCTTCCACTCGTCCAAGATGTTCGAGGTGGATTTCTGCCAGGGATACGGTGAGTGGGCGGGGGGGGGAGGGGATGTGGGCGGGTAGGGCGGTGAGCTTAAGGTGGTAATGTGTAAATAGGTCACACGCACACGCAGACATCTACACATATACACAGGCACATCCACACGCACCTACATACACACACACACATACACACACACACATATATATGTATATGTATATATATTGCACATACTCACATATAAATGACATAAGAATTAATCATCTAATGGTAACAGTTTAGATAATCAGTGAATTTAGAAATGATATTTTTCAACCCCTCCCCCTTCTCCTCTCTCCTCCCTCCCTCCCTTCCCCCCCTCCCCTCCTCCAGGACGCGTCGTGGTGGCCTACCCAGGACGAGGGGAGTCCTTCAGCGAGGGGTCATTCTGGTTCGTCGACCTCTCCCTCAGGCCTCACTTCCTCGCGCAGGACACCAACACCTACTGGCGCCTGATGTTGGCCCACCTCGGCATGCCGCAGTGGCAGCCGCTCGTCGCCGGCTTGGGACTCACGCCGTGGGCCAGGGTGAGTGTTAGGGGTGGGGGTGGAGGGGGTGGGGAGGGGAGGGTGATGGGGGGGGGATAATGGGGGTAGAATGATGGGGTTAGGGGCGGGTAGGGGGAATTGATTGGGGGTGAAGGGGGTGAGAGTATGAGGGGGGGGAGTCGGGAATGAGAATTGGAATGGGAATGGGAAACACATTTGGATTAGGATTTAAAATTATATATATATATATATATATATATATATATATATATATATATATATATATATACATATTCACACACACACACACAGATATATATATATATATATATATATATATATATATATATATATATATATATATATATATAAATATATATATATATAAATATATATATATATATATATATATATATATATATATATATATATATATATATATATATATATATATATATATATATATACATACATAAACACATATATGTGCGTGTATGTGTATGTATCATGTATGTATGTATGTATGTATGTATGTATGTATGTATGTATGTATACTTGTATGCATGCGTGTATGTATGTAGATAGATAGGCAGATAAGAAGAGAGAGAAATAGAGATAGCTAGATAGATATATGACTAGATAGATTGATACATGCATACATACATACATAGATGGATAGATAGATAGATGGGTCAGGTAGGTAGGTAGATAAATTGGTAGATAGATGACTATATGAACGGAATGAGAGAGAGAGAGAGAGAGAGAGAGAGAGAGAGAGAGAGAGAGAGAGAGAGAGAGAGAGAGAGAGAGAGAGAGAGAGAGAGAAAGTGAAAGTGAAAGACAGATAGACGGATAGACAGACAAACAAACAAACTAACAAACAGAGAAACAGAGACATAGAGATCCATCCATCCATCCAGACAGAAAGACAGACAAACACAGACTCACGGAAACCCCAAACCAGCATAACAACAGAAAGTGAAAGTGAGCGAAACAAAAGAAAAGAAAAAAAAGAGACAAAAAGACAAAAGACACAATTAGAGAAAGAAAAGAAGAAAAAAATCCCAAGTGAATAAGAACAGATGTATGACGTCACACTTCTCGCATGACGTCACACGCCCCTCAACCCTCCCCCCCACGTCATGCACTGTTCATGACGCGAGAGGAAATGTCTCTGACTAAAGGGAAATTTCGCTGTGTCATTTATTTCTGTTTTCTTGCTATTCTTTTGTTTTTGTTTTTGTTTTTTTTCCTTTTCTTGCCTTGTTTCCCCTTGATCTTTTCCTTTTTTTTCTTTCTTTTTTCTTTCGTTCTTTCTCTCTCTCTCTCTGTCTTTCTCTGTCTTTCTCTCTCTCATTCCCTCCCTCCCTTATCCTTTCTCTCTCTCTCTCTCTCTCTCTCTCTCTCTCTCTCTCTCTCTCTCTCTCTCTCTCTCTCTCTCTCTCTCTCTCTCTCTCTCTCTCTCTCTCTCTCTCTCTCTCACTCTATCCATCTCTCTCTCTCTCCCATTATTCTCTCTATCGTATCACGTCTCTTTTTCCCAATTCAGCCTTCTCTCCATTATCTCTATTCTTCCATTTCTTCCTTCTGCTCTCTCTTTCTCCCCCATTCATCTGTCTCTCCCTTTTCTCCTATCTTTCTCACTCTTCTCTCTCATTCCCTCCTATTCTTCTCTTTCTATCCACCCCTCTCTCTTCCTTCCTTCTTCCTTCTTTCCCCTTTTCCCTCCTCCCTTACGTTCTTCTTCTTCCCATCCCTCTCTCTTTCTCCCTTTTCTCTCTTATTCTCTCTTTTCTCTTTCTCCCTCTTCTCACCCCATCTCTTTTTCCCTCCCCCTCTTCCCTCTTTTTCTCCCTCTTTCCTCTCCTCTCTCTTTCTTTCCTCTTCCCTCTTTTTCTCCCTCTTCCCTCTCCCTTCTTTTTCTTTCCTCTTCCACGCCCTCTCTTTTTCCCTCCCCTTCTTCCCTCTTTTTCTCCCTCTTTCCTCTCCCTTCTCTTTCACCCTCTCCCCCCATTTCCCTCTTCCTTTCTACCTGTCTCTTCCCTCTTTTTCTTCCTCTTCCCTCTCCTATCTCTTTCTCTCCTCTTACCACCCCCTCTCTTTTCCCTCCCCCTCTTCCCTCTCTATCTCCCTTCTCTTTCTCTCCTCTTCCCATCCCCTTCTCTTCCTTCCTCTTCCCTCTCTCTTCTCTTTCTCCCTCTATTTCCCTCTCCCTTCTCTTCCTTCCTCTCCCATCTCCTCCTCCTCCTCCCTCTTCCCATCTCATTCTGTTCCATCCTCTTCCCTCTCCCTTCTCTTCCTTCCTCTCCCATCTCCCTTCTCTTTCTCCCTCTTCCCTCTCCCTTCTCTTTCTCCCTCTATTTCCCTCTCCCTTCTCTTCCTTCCTCTTCCATCTCCCTTCTCTTTCTCCTCCTCCCTGTCCCTTCTCTTTCTCCCTCTATTTCCCACTCCCTTCTCTTCCTTCCTCTTCCATCTCCTCCTCCTCCTCCTCCCCCCCCCCTCCCCCCCCCCTCCCCTTCATGCGTTAATTGCTCAGTTCTTTAATTTTCTTATTTTATCTATTTATTTATTCATCTATTTATTTATTTATTTATTCATTTATTATTTAATTAATTTATTTATGTATTTATTTATCTATTTCTTTCTTTCTTTCTTTCTTTCTTTCTTTAGTATTTTTATTTATTTATTTATTTATTTACTATTTATTTATTATTTCGGATTTCACTTTCGATTTTGTTAGATTTGGGGGGAGGGTGGGGAGGGGGGGAGGGAGAGGGGGGGATTGATTGCTTGTTCATTCATCCTTAAAAAGAAAAAAAAAGAAAAAAAGTCGATTTCTTGAGCATCGCTTTTATGAATGGTAAATATCGTGAATCTGATTATAATAACGATTTTTCAAAAAGAGATTAGAGATGGAAAAAAAATCTTTAGTGAATTATAAAAAGATAAAAGAACACATCTTATATTTACAATATTTACACATTTGCAATATTTACACTTATAAGACGCTACCAGGACAAAATTAATAAAGGAAAAAAAACAAACATGAAAAACAAAACAGACTAGCGATGCGCGCGCAGGTCGTGGCTGGGCGCGGGCACATACCGAGGGTCCGCGGGGGTAAACTAATATGCAACTTTGCAACTTCAGCCTCGTGTTGAAATGTTAGATTCATCCACCGGTTCATATATATATTTTTCATTTTTTATTTTTTTTGCATTCTTTGTTGCAGAGTTTTTTTGGGGAAAAAAATCCTTTATCATATTGAAAAAGTTTTAATTGTTGATCAGGATATGGGACGGAAATTTTGGTGTGTGTGTGTGTGTGTGTGTGTGTGTGTGTGTGTGTGTGTGTGTGTGTGTGTGTGTGTGTGTGTGTATGTGTGTGTATTTGTGTGTGTGTGTGTGTGTGTGTGTGCGTATTTGTGTGTGTGTGTATTTGTGTATGTGTGTGTATTTGTGTGTGTGTGTGTGTGTGTGTGTGTACGTGTGTGTGTGTGTCCGCTTATGTTTCATTAATATATTATCATTGTATCACTACTGTTTGCATTCTATTAAGAAAACATAAATTTTATTAAAAACGATCCCCTCACTCACTGTATGTATCATCTGACATCAAATTAAAATAATGAATTCATATCAACCAAAGATCAACTAAAGATAATTACGTTCATATCAACTTAAAATAACAAACTCACATCAGTTTTAAAAACAGTTAACTCACATCAACTTACAAATAAATGATGAACTCATACCAACTTCAAAAAAATAATATGCTCGTTTCCCCTTCTCCCTTTCCCTTTTCCACTCCCTCTTCCTCTCCCCCTCCCCCTCTATTTCTTTTACCTTTTCTCCACTTCCCTCTCCCTCTCTTTCCCTTTTTATTTCTCCCCTGTCCCTCTTCGCCTCTACATTTTTTCCCTTGTTCCCTCTCCCCCTCCCTGCCTTTCCCTCTCCCACCTACCCTCCCCCTCTCCCTTCTCCCCTTCCCCTCCTCTCCTCCTTCCTCCTCCCTCTCCCTTCTCCCTCCCTCCCCCTCCCCTCCTCCCCTCCTTCCTCTCCCTCCCTCCCCTCTCCCTCTCCTTTCTCCCTCCCCCCTTTTCCCCCTCCCCTTTTCCCTCCTCCCATCCCAGCAATGGTACGAAGTCGTGGCGGGGTACCTCCTGGAGGGCCCCCGGACGCCGCGCCTCTCCCAGGGCCCCGAGCTCGTCAACAAACTGGACTGGTCCGTGTTTAAGACCAAGAAGTCCCACAAGGCTAAGCTCACCAAGGACGCTGCTCCTGCTACCAAGGACGGGCCCGCTGCTGCTTCGAAGGAGTCGTCGACGTCAGCTGGTGGAGGAGGAGGCGCTGCAGGTGGTGGTACTAGTGGGGGGAATGCAGGTGGAACAGGTGGAACAGCTGGGAAGGATTCGGCGGCGAAGGAAGGTGGAGGAGGGAAGCAGAAGGAGTGAGGTGGTTGGTGTTTTTTTTTTTTTTTTTTTTTTTTTTGAGGGAGGGGGTGGGGGAAAGGTGGTTTTAAGGAACTTCTTTTTTCTGTGTTTTTCTCTTTCCGTCTGTCTCTCACTCTGTGGCGTATTTGTTGCCCTGAATATCTTTTTATTGATATTTCTCTCTCTCTCTCTCTCTCTCTCTCTCTCTCTCTCTCTCTCTCTCTCTCTCTCTCTCTCTCTCCTTCTTCTTTTGCTGCAACTTTGTCCCATTCTTATATGGAGTCACAATATAATCTGGTTCTTGCAGATACTGACTATGCCCGGATGCCCTTCCTGACGCCAACCTTCTCTATTTACTAGGACTTATGACCGGCAGTAACACTCTGTAAATCGCCATTGCATATAATGAGCTTTAATGTACATGTTCTCGTATTTTAAAATAAAGCAAAATATTTTTCCCCCTGACTTATTCATTCCAGTAAACAAAATTTCTCTGACTCTGTCTTTGTCTCACTTTATCTGTGTGTCTGTCTGTCTCTATTTCTCTCTTTTTCTTTCTGTCTCTGTCTGTCTGTTTGTCTCTCTCTTTCTCTCTCTTTCATTTCCCATTCTTCCTCTCTCTCTCTCTCTCTCTCTCTCTCTCTCTCTCTCTCTCTCTCTCTCTCTCTCTCTCTCTCTCTCTCTCTCTCCCTCCCTCTCTCTTTCTCTCTCACCCACTCCCCCACAAAAAAGGAAATAAAAAATGCATACATCAAAGCAAACAAATGTATTATATAATCTATGGAATCAGAAACAGGCAGCGACGACTTCATGACGCCAATCAAACTAGCTCCTGGTGTCATGTTCAGCCTCAGACAGAATCATGTCTCCTAACCCCCCAAAAAAAGCTCCCAAAATAAGACATATCTTGGCCATGTCTGATCATATTACTTGCTTTAGAAGAGAGAGAAGAAAATAAGAAATAACGATTAAGCATCACGTTTCTCGAGACGAATAAGTTCCTCGTATGCCACACGAACGATGCCAGCGCGCAAAGAAGACAGAAGAAAAAACAAACACAAAAAAAACAAAAGACAAAAAAGAAAAAAAAAAAGACAGAAAGAAAGAAAGAAAAATAATAAAAAAGAAAAAAAAACAAAAAAGGCAGAAAAAAAGAAAAAAAAGAAAAGAAAAGAAAAAAAAAAAAAGCTAATGGCGGATCCCCCCTATTAAGAGCCTCGGATCTTATAAGTCACATCGGCGAATACCTCGGCGTGCAATCCGATCTTACAGCCGCAAGACGACGCTGCCCCCTACCTGCCAAGTTCACATAATAAACCTGTAGTTCTGGGAAAGATTGCAGAGGGAGAGGGCTGGCTGGGGAATTATGGTATGCGGGGGGGAGAAGGAGAGAGAGAGAGAGAGAGGGGGGGGGAGAGAGAGGGAGGGAGAGAGAGGGAGGGAGAGAGAGGGGGGGAGGGAGGGAGGGAGGGAGAGAGAGAGAGAGAGAGAGAGAGAGAGAGAGAGAGAGAGAGAGAGAGAGAGAGAGAGAGAGAGAGAGAGAGAGGGAGGGAGGAAGGGAGAGAGAGAGAGAAAGAGGAGAGGGTGAGGGAGAGGGAGAGAGAGAGAGGGAGGGAGGGAGAGAGAGAGAGAGAGAGAGAGAGAGAGAGAGAGAGAGAGAGAGAGAGAGAGAGAGAGAGAGAGAGAGAGAGAGAGAGAGAGAGAGGGAGAAACAGAGAGAGAGAAAGAAAGACAAACAGATAGACAGACAGACAGACAGATAGATAGACAGGCAGATAGATAGATAGACAGATAGAGAGAGAGTGAAAGAGAAACAGACAGACAGACGTAGTGACACACAAATCTCTCCCTTCACGTATCAAACCCCCTTCATAAAAAGAAAAAGAAAAACCGAAAGAAAAGAAAGAAAAAAAGAAAAAAAACAATAACAAAGAAAGAAAGAGAAAAAGAAAAAACACACAAAATAAAAACATAAAAAGAAAACAGATTAAGACCAAAAAACAAGAACAGGCGTGGCGAATGACTGTCATTATCAAATCGGCCCGAAAGGAAGATCTCCATCGGGAAACAATAAGGAAAAGCTTTCACTCTCGCCTCCGCCATTTGGACAATGCTCTCGAGACCTTCTGCGGGGTGAAAGAAAACGGGAGAACGGGCGCGAAAGGGGCCACTTATCTAATACAATGCGGGGAGTTTATATATGTGTGCTACGTAAGATTGATAAATTTCGTTATTGTTTTTTTATTGTTTTTTTTTCTTTATTTCTTCCTTTTTCTCTAACTTGGGAAAAGCGTAGGGAATTATTTATTTTCTATTTTTTTCTGTAGCATATATATATATATATATATATATATATATATATATATATATATATATATATATATATATATATATATATTCTTTTTTTTTTCTGTTTTCATTTACTCTTTCGTGAGTGGCTTTTCCATTTCAAAAAAATAAAAAGTGCAGACTGTTCTAGATTTTTTTCTCTAGCTAAAATTATGTAAAAATAATCTAATTGTTTTTTTTTCTACCCATAGGTCTTTCTCCATCACGCTTAATATCTGTTAGTCTGTCTGCCTATCTGTTTGTCTGTCTATTAGTCAGTCAATCAGTCAGTCTGTTAGTCTGTCTCAGTCTGTCAGTCTCTCTCTCTCTCTCTCTCTCTCTCTCTCTCTCTCTCTCTCTCTCTCTCTCTCTCTCTCTCTCTCTCTCACTCATTAACAACACCAAACCTCAACAACATCCATCAACAATAACAATATCAACAACAACAACAATCCATACCTCCCATACCCCTTAAACTCTGTCATATGCCTCCCCTCCCCCCCCTCAAAAAAATCATGACACATCCCCCCAATACCCCCCTCCCCCCTCCTTGTCACCATACACCATATGTCACCACCGGAGACTTCAACACCAGTCCCTGTCTACTCGGTTAGTGTGGAAATGGAGGGGGGGAGGGAGAAACCGCAGGTATGTGAGGGGAGGGAGAGAGGGGAAAGGGGAGGGGTAGGGAGGGAGGGAGGGGGAGAGAGAGGGGAATAGGGAGGGGGAGGGAGGGGGAGGGAAGGAAGGGGAGAGGGGAAAGGGGAGGGGGGAGAGGGAGGGAGGGGAGAGGGAGAAAAGGAAAGGGGGGGGAATGGAGGGGAAAGGGAAGAGGGGAAAGGGGAGAGGGAAGGAAAGGGGGGAGAGAGGAATGGGAGAGGGGAATGGGGAGAGAGAGGGAGAGGGGAAGGGGAGAGGGGAATGGGGAGAGGGAGGGAGGGAAGGAGGGAAGGAATGGGGGGAGGAAGGGAGGGGAATGGGAAGAGGGGAAAGGGGAGGGGGAGGGAAAGGGGGGGGAGAAGAATGGAGGGGGAGGGGAGAGGGGAGGGGGGTGGAGGAGGAAGAGGGAGGAGAGAGGAAGGAAGGGAAGGAGGGAGAAGGGAGGAAAGGGTGTAGATGGGTGAGGGAAAGAGGGAAGGGAAGAAGGGAGGAAGAGGAGGGGAGGAGGGGAGGGGAGGGGAGGATGGAGGAAGAAGAATGATTAGGAGGAAGAAGGAGGAAGAAGAGGAGGAGGAAGGAGAGGAGAGAGGAGGAAGAAGGAAAAAAGGGAGAATGGAAAGGGATGGAGGAGGGAAAGAAAGATAGGGGAGGAGGGAGATGGAGGAGGGAAGGGGGAAGGAGGGAAACCGGAGGCAGGAAGGCAGAGGAGAGGAAGAGGGAGGGGAAAATGAAAGGGAAAAGAGAATAGAGGCGGAAGAGGAAGAGGAAGGTGAGGAAGAAAATGATCATAAGAATACTGACAGAGACAATTTGTAGGAGCGACAGAGGTGGTGATAATGATCATTATGATGATCATTTGAAGACGATGACAAGGTTAATGGTGAATATTTGATAGTGAAAATAATAGTAATGGTGATGATTCGATAGTGAAAACAGGTTTAATGGCGATGATTTAATAGTGAAGACAAGGATAATGATAATGATGACTATGATAATTATGATGATGAAGAAAACCACGACGATGGCGAGTGTACTTTCGATAACAATCACGATGTTACTAAACCGTGACGAAAATACACAAAAAACGAAGAAAAGAAAAGAAAAAAAGGAAAGCAAGAAAACAGGAAGATCAGAAAATTGATTAAGAAAAAGAAAAAAGTCCCCCTTAGCCTGACATAATTACAACCATTAAACATCTGCCAGAATCTGTGGATGGGGGGGTAGGGGGGGTAGGGAAGGAAGAGGGAGGGGGGAGAGGGGGAGGAAGGGGGGAGGGAGGGAGATAGGGAAGAAAGGAAGGGGAGATGGAGAGAGAGAGACAGAGAGATAAAGACAGAGAGGGAGAGAGAGAGAAGGAGAGAGAGAGAGAGAGAGAGAGAGAGAGAGAGAGAGAGAGAGGAAAGAAAGAGAGGAAGAAAAAGAAAGAGGTAAAGAAAGAGAGAGAGAGAGAGAGAGAGAGAGAGAGAGAGAGAGAGAGAGAGAGAGAGAGAGAAAGGGAAAGAAAGAGAGGAGGAAAAAGAAAGAGAAAGAGAGAAAGGGACAGAGAGAGCGAGAGAAAAAAAGAAAGAAGGAAAAAGAGTACAGACGTGACAGCAATACTTATCATCAAGTGTACATTACCCTCATTCCCCGCCCCCCCCCAACCTCCCCCTCCCCCGTATCCCCCCACTACACTCCTCTCCCTCCCATCTACCCCCATAGCTACCCTCCCTCCCTTCCCCTCCCCCCCCACCCCCACCCCTACCACCACCACCTCCCTTCCCCTCCCCCCCCTCCCTCCCCCCACCATCACTCACTCCCTCCCCCTCCCTTGTGGACATCACCCCCCCCCCCCCCCCCCATCGTCACAGCGTCGCAGTCATAAGCGTGACGTGACGTGACATGAGCGCCGTAACGACTCTGCAACCTGCTCTTCCATGACAAGAATGTCATGTCTGGAGAGGCTATTTTGTCAGGCGGTGAGTCATGTCATCTGCGGTTCTGTTTGTTCTTACGAGAGGATTTTTATTTTTTTAATTTCCTTTTTCTTTTTTTCTTTTTTGTTTTTTGTCTTTTTTTCCCTTTTTCCTTTTTTTTCTTTTCCTTTTTTCCTTTTTTCTTTTTTCTTTTTTTCTTTTTTTTTCTTTTTTCCTTTTTTCCTTTTTTTCTTTTTCTTTTTTTTTCCTTTTTCCTTTTGTTTCCTTTTTCTTTTTTTCCCTTTTTCCGTTTTTTTTCTTTTTCCTTTTTCTTTTTTTCCTTATTTCCTTTTTCCTTTTTTTCCTTTTTTTTTTTTTCCTTTTTTGTTTTTTTTTTCTTTTTCCTTTTTCCTTTTTCCTTTTTTATTTCCTTTTTTACGGTCAAGAGTTTCTGAAATTTTGATAATCTGTTCTTTT